AGGGGGGAATTGCAGGGGAGGGGCAGGGCAGGAGGCTTGGGAGGTGGTGTTATGCAGGGGCCACCCCGCTGTGCGCACAGTGTCTTGCGGGAGAAGGCGTAATGGGACGGGAGGGACGGAGCGCAACTGCGCGTGGGATGCCGCTTGGGGCCCGCTCCGCTGCGGCTGGGGCCGGCTGGGTGCAGCGCCCTGCGTTGGGTGCGTGCTTCGAGGCGGCCACAGGGTGGGCACACCCCTTGGTATCACTCTGCAGCGCGCCCAACCCCGCTGCAACATTGTTCCCGATACGCAACCGCCTCAGGCCATTCTGAACGCCACTGCCTACAAGGACGGCAGCCTCAGCACCTTTGAGGACGAGAGCGACACCGAGGGCAACGTGAGCGGCGGGGCTGCGGGGTGGAGGAACAGGGGCTGCGGATGCGGCGGGGCGCCACCCGCCGCACGCAGCAGGGGGGCGCACGTGCACCCACCCCCGGGCTCCGGTCTGCCCACCCGCAACAGTCGCCTCGCACTAGCAAGGCAGTCGCCCCGCAATCCTCGGCGCCCACCCTAGCGTCGCCCTGCAGCCGTGCGCCTCTGCCCCAACTTTCACAGACACTCACTCGTCCACCCCCACCCCCCCGGCTTCAGAGGGGGCCCAGGCGGCACGCGTGCTGAGCGACACGGCGGCGCACTCACTGACCCACTCCCCACGCTCCTCACACTGTCTCTCTCTGTCACCCCAGGCCAACGCGGCCCTGGAGTTCTTCACGGACCTGATGCTGGAGCAGTACATGGACGGCTGCGAGGTGGACTGCGACATCGTGCTGTCAAACGGCAAGGTGGTCTACGCAAACGTGGTCGACAACGGCCCCACGCAGGAGCCCTGGTTCCAGGTGCGGCGGGCCAGGCGGCCGCGCTTTCTGTCTTGGGCCGCAGCTCCCCGACCGCCACGCCCCCTGGCAACCGGCCGCCGCCGCACAGCGCGCCGGGGCCAGGCAGCGGCTGACTTGATGCCCGGGGCCCTGTGGCAGAGGGCGGGGCGGGCTGCCGCCGGCGGGCCCCAGGGCGGCCGCGCTGCAGGTCCTGCGCGCCACTGATCAAGCAAAACCATTGGTCGCGTCAAAGCACTCCGCCCGCAATCTCCCTGCCTGCCCGTCCCGCCCCGCAGGAGACCAACACCAACTCCCCCAGCCTGCTGAGCGCGCAGCAGCAGGCGGAGCTGATTGAGTGCGCCACGGCGTCGCTCAAGGCGCTGGGCCTGACGCACGGCGTGCAGCACACCGAGCTCAAGTACACCTCGCGCGGCGCCCGCCTGCTGGAGGTGCGCGGGGCGCCAGGGGGTGTCGGCCCCGCGGCGCACGCCGCCGCGCGGTGGGCGGCGGCACGGCTCTGGATGAAGGCTTCGCCTGGCGAGGTCGCGATTGCTGGCTGGGGCCTGCCTGGTTTCCTTGGCGAGCCTCAGCCTGCGAACCGCAACAGGCACCCTGCGACGTTGTTCACTGGGACAACGCTCGGGTGCTCCCCACTATTCCCCCCCCCCCAAAATCCAAACCCCCAACCCCGCTGCCGCCTACTCCTCCCCCGCCACCCCAGGTGAACCCCCGCATGGGCGGCCGCGGCGTGCACACGATTAACAAGCTCTCCACCGGCGTCTGCATGGTCACCGAGCAGCTGCTCGCCAGCTGCGGCCTGCCCTGCGCGCCGCCGCGCCCGGCGGCGCCGCTGGCGTGCATCGGGGAGTACGGCGTCGTGTCGCCCGCCAGCGGAATCCTGGCAGACAACTCTGTCATCGAGGTGGGGCCGGGGGCCGGGGGCTGCAGCCGGCCGGGCTCGCCCGTCTGTGTTGGCCTGTTTTTTGTGCGCCTGCAACCTGCGCGCCGTGGACCCCGTCTTGCTATGAGGTTGACTGACTGACATAGAGGGGCCTCGATGTCGCCGATCTGCGTGACCGCTTGGGCTGGAGCTCGCACGTGCACCCGCACAAAGCGCGGCGCCGCGCCCTGAGCCGCCATCCACCGCCTTCATCCCCTCCCCCTCCGCCAGAAATGGGCCGCCCACCCGGACGTCGTGTACTGCCGGCCCCTGGCCGACGTGGGCGCCAAGATGACGTGCGCACAGGACGGCTTCCCCACCTGGATCGCCGAGGTGATGGTCCGCAAGGCGACGCCGCAGGAGGCGGTGGAATTCGTGCAGTCGGTGCACGATGACATCCTCGCGAGCGTGAAGATCACGCCCGCGTCCGCCAGCAAGGCGGCCGGCAAGGCGGCGAGCGAGGAGTGACGGACGGTCTGCCTTCGCGGTTTGAGGGGTTGGGGATGATCTCGATCTTTGCCGCCGCCGGCCGAGGTTGCGACGCGACGCTTGGCGGCGTTTTTGAAAGTGTGAAGAGGGGGCGGGCGTTGAGTCCCGTCATTGGGAAGGGTAGGGATTGGTAGGGAAGAGTTGCAGAGCGCTTGATGGGCCGGGCGCATTCTTGGGAGTCGCGCTGTGTTACGCGCGTGCGTTCGCCGCTGCCGATACTGGCGGCGGGATGGGGTCATTGCAGGCCAAGGTCGCTTGGGGGCCCGGCTGCTGGCTGCTCGGCGCCCGAGCCGCGGTGCCCCGCACGCGCAACGACGCCCGTCGGGTTGCCGAACGCTCCACATTCGAACAATTATACTGCACAGATCGTCTAGCCAGGAGTGCGCCGCGTGTGCGCCGTGTATAGATTTCAAGCGCGCCCTGGCGTTGTCGTGCGGCGCGCCCTTGCCGCTCGCTCACACCACATATGGACCGCTGTTCCCAGCCAAATGCTCATCGACATCGGCTGCCGCGCTTCTGCCGCCGACCAGCACTGCACCTGATCTTCCAGATTGCAACGCACCCCCTGGCCTACCGAGGGTCGGTGGCCACCCCAGCCAGGGCGCTCGAGCACCCACATGGATTATTCACAGGGGAGACCGTTTCTTTAACTCGCACGCTGCACACCAGCCGAGCGTTAGCATGCACCCGGGTAACGCATTGCGATTTTTCAGGGTTAAGGGGTAGCGAGAGAGGTGCGGTGCAGGTGTGAGATGGGAGGCTGTTCTGGCATAGAGACGTGCAGCAGTTGCAATGGTGGGCGGCGAGCCGAGAGACAGAGCACAATACATAAGGGCGCTGCGAATTGTCCAGGTATTCATGTCGAGGCACAGGCAACTTCAAGCAGTTCTACGAGCTATCATCATCTTTGAGAGACTCGAAAGATAGCGCCGCTGATCTCAACGCGCGAAACAACGTCGAGACCAGACGGTTGTGGTGCAGCCACGTCACGTTATTGAGAAAATTTCAACGCATTTGATATCAATACAAGCACCATGGAAGAACAAGGACGTTGCCGGACGAGAGCAGCGCCTCGACGTCGCGCACAGCATGACAGCGGCCAGGCAGCGTTGGCCATTGCGCTGTGCAGCGCAGCCTTGACTTTGGCTTGCGCCGCACAGCCACAGCAGCCGCCAAACACAAATGCCCCCTCAAACGGCACCGTAGCCCAGCTCTGGTCGTGGTGGCGCGCCAGCGGCGGCAGGTGCGAGGCGTGCAGGCAGCAACATTACTGGTGCAAATCCCTGACGCTGGCCAACAGCCGCGCTGCACCAATTTGTGGTCAACCACAGGGCCCCGCCTGGTGCAAAGCCCGCTCTCAGCTGCCTAGCTGACGCCTTCAGCTCGTCTCCAAGGGACTGGAAGGTCTACAGGTGCTCCTTGGAGCCGCAATTTGACGGATGGGTGTGTTTGCTTTCCATAGCAGAAGCCCAGCAGAGCACATGCAGCCAACCCCGGCGATCTTGGTGCGGGGCGCCCAGCGGCACCCCAGTCACGCAAACGCGCTGCCCCTGTTTAACCTTGTCACCGCCAACCCCTCCCTCCCTTGCCCCTGCCCCGGCCCTGTGCGTGCTGGCGCCTCCCAGCCAAGCTGGGGAGGACGGCATCATCGAGACAATATTCGCCTGCATAGGGGAGAGTGACAAGTACTATGCAGAGTTTGGCACCCAGGACGCCCGCGAATGCACCACGCGCTACCTCAGGACCAAGGGCTGGACGTGAGCCCCCGCGCGGACGCATGCACACGCATCACGCCTGTGCGGTGCCTGCGCCTGCAGCCCCCGCGGCCGCGGCCGCTCTGCGTGCCGGCGGGCACTGTGTGCGTTACCTGTGGGTCGGCCGGGGACGCGGGTGGCGGCGGGCCCACCGCCCACTGGCATGCTGCATGCGCCGCAGGGGGCTGCTGATGGACGGCGGGCACGAGAACGCCACGATCAACCTGCACAGGGAGTTCATGAGGTGCGCAGCGGCGGTGGGGCCGGGTGGGGCCATATGGGGCCGGGTGGGGT